GTTGAGGTGAAGAACGGAAGATCAACATAAGCCAACAGGATCTTCCTTCAAAATAAATATAGTGCACCCAAGAAGAGCCAATAAGGTTTGATCACAGGGCACCAAATCTGGTCACATATTTTATTGTTGAGCCATGGCAGGAAAATACAATTCCTGGTATTGTAAGCAATAAAAACCACTTCTCTTCCTAGTTCCAGAGATAGGGTCTACATGTGTCCTAGGGCAACTGCAGATACTGCCACTGATGTATTGGTGCAAGAGAAAAGTCACAATGCAGTATAGGAAGGATATTCAGGATGTGAAAGCAAAAAGAAGAGGTGGGGGGATTGCCCATAGACCATCATAGGGTTGGTGCAAATTTGTGGCAGGGATTAAAGAGATTTCAAAGGCCACATTGGATGCCTCTGATAAAGCACAAGCTTCTCCTTCCAGCACATCTGCTATTGAAGTTAGTTTGCCGGAAAGCTGATGAGGCTCTTTGTACATTATCTAACCTACAACAATAGAGTTGCAATGCACTCCTATCCTACCCTCCTGATTTTCATTAAACTTAGCTGGGACTAATTAGTTTTCTAGTCTCATTAGGCACAGCCTCCCAGCAGCTTCTGTAAAAAGAATCAAGATGAATGCCAAGCTCCTAATAGACAGCGGAGGGAGACTTGATCTATCCCTTGACACCATTAGTTATGATGGCAGCTTTCATTATGCTGTGGCCATAGTAGAGCTACGTCCTCCATACTGATTTATTGCTGTACTTTGAACCAGAAGTGGGTGAAAGGTACCTCGAAGAAGAGCCAACACCAAATTTCAGGGGCATATGCTTCAAGTCACTGTGGTTTCAAAACAGTCTCTTACTTGGTAGCACCCAGGGATGGCATTCTTGTTAGGCAGAGAGAGGCCACTGCCTCAGGCAGCAGATGCTAGAAGATGAGAAGGTGTTAGAAGATAGGACACACAGCTCTGTGTGGCTTGCCTTGAACTCCCTCAGCTTGCTTGCTGCTGTCAGGTGCTGCTGTCTAATCACCACTGTCAAAGAAAGACTGAGCTGCCAGTGTGGTCAGTTTTCTGTATGTGGAATGGAAAGAAGGTGCCACCTTGTTCTTCTTCTGGGCAGCAAAATGACTTGGGCTGTACAAAGGGTAGACACACTTCTTGCTTAGCCACCAGGTTTTAATCCAAAGGAAGATTAGACTTTGGCCTTAGCTTTGTACACTACTTTTCTTGACCATCACTCTCCTCATGGTGTTGGGGGCAAAGACAGCTGTCTGTGGGATATCCTTGACTTTGGAAGTCCCCAGGGCATGTGACGTTGTCTGCTTCCTTGAAGCTAAAGCAAGTCTTGGTCTGGTCCATACCTGGATGAGAGACCACCTGGGAATCCTAGGTGCAGAACCTTTAATACCATTATGGGGAGAAAGGTGGGATGTAAATATAAATAAATAAATAAAACCAAAGATAGATCAATGTAAAGGGGTAAGTAGATTTTCAGATAAACTCAGGAACTATCTCCCAGCTTAGGTATCCATTTCTGCCTGAGCTGGCCATCCAGAGCCAGAGAGGAATTGCACATGCCCTGATCTCACACCTTATCTCCTCCTAGATACTATTCCAGAGCCAAGAAACCCATGATCAGACCCTTTGAATCAAAATAGTTTAAAAACAACCATTAGTGAATGAGTAAACAACACAAAAAAGGCTTGCTTGATACTTAAATCCATTATCTTTTCCACTGCTAAATCTACTTTTATTCCACCCATGTGTTTAAAACTGTACTTCCTTGAATACCACACTTTTTTTCATTCAGAAATAGCCTTGATGTAAGAGTCATAGTTTTGCTGAAGGAAATGCCTCAAAAAGGAAGCTCAACAATAAAAAATAACAACAGCACCCCCAGTTTAAACAGTAGTATGGTTTCAGAAAAGCAGCCTTGGGAATTGAATGTTCTGAGATTTATTAATATCCTGTTTAACAGTTAATGATCAAGGTGATTGTAAAAAGTTTCAAGTATAATGATTATCTGGTATGAGGATGCCTAGGGAAGATATCAAAGCATCTTTATACGAACATGTCTTTCTCTGGTTTGCATTGAAATTGCATATGGCATTGGTAATCCTGGTATTCTAGTAATATACTTCAAATTCCCAGATGTTAATGGGCTGTATTTCCCCCGTTGATTTCATGAGGCATTCATTTAACATATGGAAAACGTTTGCCTTCTCATCCATTATCTGGAGAGGGGAGACAAAATTAGTTCCATGCTATTTGTTCACTAATATAGATGCCACAACCTTGAAAGAGTTGAAGTTGTGAGTGTTTGATTTACTTAACCTTTTAAATTGAAACAGTTGCAATTGCTGCTAAGTAAAGACTAGCCTTTTCCCCATCGTTCTCTCATCTGTTTCTCACTTTGCCAGTGTTCCAAATGTATCTAGATCTGAGGACAGCAACAAAGATTTGTTGCAGCTAGGGATACTGTAGATCAAATGTCAATTTTGTTTTTTTCAGTTTTTTGGTAGGATCACTTTTAAATGTGAATTGAAATGAATATTTAAATTCTTCTCCCCTCCATAGTTGAAGCCTGAGCCTAATATCCTGAACATTTTTTTCAAGCAAGTCCCACTGAATTCAATGAGCCCTAATTCATGGTAGATGTTTTTAGCATGGGAGCTGTACCTTCACTTGCAGCTGTGATCCTGTGCCAATCCTCCCTTCCCAGTCCTACTCTCTTAAAAAGATACTTCAAAATAAGCCAGTACCAACTGGGTTCAAGTGAAACCAGATACTCTGAGGGCCAAGGAATCCATATATGCAGTACTCTAGTCTTCAACTCACTGAAAGGACAGATCATGAAGCTGAGGCTCCAGTACTTTGGCCACCTCGTGAGAAGAGAAGACTCCCTGGAAAAGACCCTGATGTTGGGAAAGATTGAGGGCACAAGGAGAAGGGGACGACAGAGGACGAGATGGTTGGACGGTGTTCTCGAAGCTACAAACATGAGTCTGACCAAACTGCGGGAGAGAGTGGAAGACAGAAGTGCCTGGCGTGCTCTGGTCCATGGGGTCACGAAGAGTCGGACACGACTAAATGACTAAACAACAACAAAGTCTTCAACTGTCTTTAACTAAATGAGAGCTGTGCTGTTAAAGCTCTGAATGCAGCCCTAGGAACAATTTTGCTTTTCAGGACTTGGTTCTAAGCCTGAAGCAATAAAGGCAAGAGGGTCTCTTGAGTATTTGCAAAATGTATTTCTCTCATCATTAAATAACTGATAGCTCTCTCCATACTAGGGGCACACACAACTCAATCACTTTTACATTTCTACTAACTCAGGAAGGTTGCATCACTACTTTAGATGAAAAGCCATTTTTCAATCCTCCTGGTTCTTTCCTCACAGTTTGCTTCCCCTTCTGTCTCTGTGTCACTGGTGGATTCTCTGTGCCCATTTCTCTTGTAACCTTTCCTCTTCTGTGCTCTCCCTTTCTTAAAAAACGTGATCACTATCTTTCTTCTTCCTCTGTACTCCATAGAGCTCACCATGTCTTTGGTCACATCCAGATGTCATGTTTATTGAGCATTTGTTACCATTTGTTTGTGGGGAGTTTATACGTTGTTGCATCAAGCCATTGTTATCCCACATTTTTCAATGCTCTCCCACGACCTCATTCCTCACTGCAAAAAGTTCGATTCTGGGGGAAAGTGGGAGGGTTTTTGCACAAGAGTGCCTAATCAACTTCAATTATGCAACCTAAATTTTCCTGGTATGTTTTTTGAATCAAATCCCAAAATAGTGACAGCCTGGAAGTGGTATTTATCTCTCCCATGTGTTGTGCTTGTGTTTCCTCCCTCCCCCATCTGCTCCCCTCCCCTCTACTCAATCACTTTCTCTCTCTACTCCCTGCAGCACCATGCTTCTCTCTGCATCTCAGTCTACATTGCCCCTCTGTTTTCTCTTTCTGTATCCCATACTTTACTTCTATATCCCATAGAACCCCCTTTTCAGCTCTACCTTTCCGTTCTTTGTCTCTTTTGTGTCTGCCCCCTGCATCTGTACTGCTCTTTTCCAAGTTCAGCAGCGATGGCACGTAAGGTGTCTACTTAACCATCTACACAATGAATGAGGTCTCCAGAATACAAGTGAGCAAGTCATGCAATGTGACTAGTGGTCTGTCTGCAACAGCCCAGAGGAATTAGTTAAATGCCTCTGGACAGGAGGAGCAATGTGAATGTACAGTATTGATTCACTAATTATCCCATTCCAATTCTCGCTTTGAATGTGGTTTGGATAGGCCTTAGGTTTTGTTTGTATGCTAACCTGGCACTGTACTTTTGTAACTGTTATTCACCTTAAAAATGCCATAGGTTATTTAGTGTTTCCTTTTCCGCCTCTGTCAATAGAAGCCTGGCAAACTGCCACCAATGGCTTGCATTGCACAGATCCATTTTGCTTGTGTGACATGGCTGTGGGATATTATTCCTTTATGGCAGTGTTTCCTCATCCTTGGCTGATATAAGCAGCCACAATATGTGAAATAAATGGACAATCCAACCAGGATTATAAAAGAGATTTCTGAGTTTCTAGCACAGGATTAACTCTGCTCCCAACTGTCTAATGTATCACAAACTGAGAAGAGGAGGGGTTGAAGGCACCAGTACAAGAAGCCTATTTAGCATGTAAGACTGTTGGCGTTTTTCTGAAGAAACTGGTCTCTTGACCCAAGATGCTTTGGGCTTTAAACTAACCAAAATGCTGCATTTTGAGACTTTGCTTTTTCATTTCATGATTGACTTAGTCTGGATTCGAGCCAATGTGTCCTTGTTTCTCTTTTTGGTTTATTTTAGAATATTAATGATTCCTGTTGTTGTTATAGCATAATATTAGTTTATTAATGTTTTTTAGTTCTGGGGAAAAAATTCAGCTTAGGGTATACGTATTAAGACAGTGAAGCTGGAGAACTGAAGATGTATAATTTTCTTTCACATATGTATCCATTTATTCATAGATGCCTCCTCAGAAAACGAAGGTTCCCACTTGTACCATACGAAGAGAACAAACCAAAGCAAAGACAAAGAGCCATCCTGACGTTGCCTGTAACTGCCGTTACATTTTCTTGTCCTATTGCACTCTGTTTTATATGATATACCATTATATAACATACACACAGTGGGAGATTTCTAGGACTGTGGCAAAGAGACAGATTCACTTCCAGCTATAGTTGTTGTTGTGGAAAGACTTTCTCCCCGCCCCCCACACCTTTCTTTTAAAATAGACTGTACCAAACCAGTTGCAACTGTTCAATTATAAATAAATGTCTGAAGGGTTTTAGGAAATGTGCAAGTGAGTGGTGTTATGGTGGTTTGCAAGGCAAAATGTCTGTATGCGGATCAAGGAGAGGGCAATTGTGTCCTTACCTTTGGGCACCAGAGGAGCTGTGAGGTATTGCAAGCAGAGTTGTGCATATAAAATGTGGCTAATGGGATGCTTGTCCCATCCACATGGAGCTTACTGTGTGGTCTATAACCCTGTATTTGGTCAGGGTTGACTGTAGTACCCCCCCCACACACACACTTCACTGTCACTCAGTGCCTAAAAGTAAAGCAAGTGGCAGTTCTTTTTTCTATGTTGCCCTCTATGTTGTAGATCTGCTTTAATAGTCCGATTCCTGCCCTGAGCTAGGGAGTCGCAGCAGATGACCTCTAAACTTCCTACTCACTGTAAGATTCTATGGCCGCCACATGGCAATCCAGCATTTTTGTGAGCAACCTGCCTCACTGGCTGCTGCAGCAAATGTTTCTATTTGGTTTTACTACTATTCGGTCAGGCTGCGTCTCAATCCCCATTTTTAGTTTAAGAATCATCTCGTTGTCATTCTGAATTCTACAGTGCATCTCTTTGAGTATGTTAGTCTGCTAAACTGGCTTGCACAGTGTGTGATCCACCACTTCAAACGTAGCCAACCAGACACGCACTGTTGCTTTGCTGGAGGATTAACAGTCTCTGTACTTAGGCAACCCTTTGCAGACAGAAGAACAAATGTGTTTCATAGAAGTCCTGCTGGGCCACCTTAGAGGGCTATTGGGCACCAATTGATTTGGCGGGTCAGTAGCAATCCATCAACCGTTTATAATGGTCAGTAGTCGTGTTGGGCTGTATTGATTGTGACAATACTTGCTGTGTCCTCAAGCCAATTATTCAGAACAGTCTTATCCATATCTGTATAGCTACTTGTAAGGTTCAATATTGCAACCTAAATACTCAATAATAACTTGCCTTCTATTGCCAGAATTAAAATCTATGGTTAAAAAGAGAACAAAAATGCACACACATCCTGAACTTGCTTGCATTTACACTGAATGCAGATGGAAATCTGAATGTATGATACAGAATTAAAACCATATCAGTGATATACGTGTATATGCATATACGTGTGAATGAAATATTTCTAGAATTACTGTAATATTTTGAGCTGAAGATTAAGGCCAGAACAGAGTTTGGCATGTTTAACCCCTAAAATGATTTAAATGTGACTTAAGCACGCAAAACTGGGTGCTGGGATTGTGCCTCAGCTTTGTTTTACCCACTTTAATAACATTAAACATAATTTCCCCTGACATACAATTTGAGAACAAATGTAATGCACCTAAATGTAATTGCATTTTAAAATGTGAAAGAAATAAGCATGGCAGATGTTTGAGAAAATACTGCAGATTTTAATCTGCTTACAGCATTACCTTTCCTTCTCCTAATGGGGTAGTCCTTGCAGGATTCTATCAGAGCTTAGACTTCTAGCATAGTTGGTCCCAGACACTGTATTGGCCAGATAGCCATTGGACCATCTTATCCAATCAGGAATTTCTGTATGTCTGTATCTAACTTTATACAGCAATATCCTTCTAGACTCCACCAAGCACCCTATAGTAGACTTGTCAGTCAGTTGTGGAAGACACATCTACTTTCCCTGTGTATTATGTACTGACATAATTGCCACTTTAATATTTTTTTTAAAAGTCATTTGATTTCCAGTTAATGGATGGAGATGGTAGCATTAAAAGAATAATCTTAAAGAATTAGGTGTGTTAAGTATCTGAGCCACAATGGAATACAATTCATGGTTAGGGATTTCTTTGCAATTAAACCGATTCCCTGAACAGCTTCATTTTTACATTCATATATCAAGGAGACAAATCACCCTGACCCTATCACACCGTATAATGGAACCTGTACAACAAGCCTTAAAACTTACAATTCTCCAGAGTATATATATATATTTAAAATATATTTGTGGAAGTCAAAACCACATTGCATTTTCAGCCGTGAGAGAACAATGTGAATTCCCTCTAAAGGAAGATGGGAAAGATTGGTCTCTATGCATGGGTTGGAAGTTGGCTTAAATAGCTACTATAGCAGCAGATAATTTAACTAGCAGGCAGTGTAACTGTGCTATTCCTGATTAGTGATTTGGCTAATAAGGGTGAGATCATGGAAAATGCTAATGCAGCGCCTTAGGAAAATCCAATTATAATGTAACCTAATTCAATTCAGGCTCTCAGCAGGTGACCAGTGTTTGTGGGAAGAGCACCCCAGACTCAGGATTGTGTCGTGAATGCACCAAACAGACAGGCCTCTGTGTATCCAATGTTAGAGCCAACAAACCCCATTTCATTCCTTTCAACACTTCAGCTCAACTAATTATGAGGGTTTCGTCTTCCATTTGTGAAGCTTAACTCATTATCATTAGAGTTCATGAAAACAGAGATGAATATATGCCAGCTACTTGGAGTAAAAAGGGGAGGGGAGGAGAAATGCAGACATTTTTGCAGCCTCAGGGTGCTTTTCTTTTCTTAGTGTCAGCACCTGCCTTTTAATGTTTTGCTGCCAAACATCTGACCCGGCAAATATTTAGTCACCTAAATCCTAGCGAGACAAATTGTGAGAAACTGGTGAGGTTGGAGTCATCAGTGGGGGTGGGAGGGGAGAGCTACACACACACACACACACACACACACACCTCCATTAAGGAATAATGCATTAAGTATATTTAGTTTTAGCTCTACAGCTAAAGTAATGTAGCCAGAGCAGAGCATGCTTAAGGACTTCTTAGGGGAAAGGTATAGCTTAGTGGCAGAGCATCTCCCAAATTCAACCCCTGGCATCTCCAAGGTGGGCTGGGAAGGACCTCTGCCTAAAACCTTAGAGCAGTGTTTCCCAACCGGTGTTCCGCGGCACACGAGTGTGCCGTGAGACGTTGCCTCGTGTGCCGCGAGATGCCTGGAGGGAGGCGGGCGAGTCGGGCGGCGAGAGGCGGGGCGGCGGCGGCGAGGAGAGGCCGCGCCTCCTGCTGTTGCCTGGCGCTCCTCCTCGCAGCCGGAAGCGCTGCCTGGGCACCTCCGCGCGACTCTGCCTCGCTGGGTTTGGTCTCCCAGCAGAGACGGGTCACACGCGCCCCTCCCTCCCTCCCTCAGCCTGCGCGGAGGGAGAGCCAGAGAGAGGCATCGCTCCTGCGCGGCGGGAGAGGGAGCAGCCGGAGCGATGCCCCAAACGAACGCATGGGACTGGAGGGGAAATCCTCTCCGAGGCGGATTGAGCGCAGCTGAGAGAAGCCTTTCGAGGAGCTGCCGTGTCCCCTGGAAACCCCCTTCCCAGCTCTGCCTCAGCCGCAGCCGCCTCAGTTGCCGCCGTCCCTCAGTCCCTCGCTCTGCTGCCTCCTCCCACCCCCAAAGCTTGGAGGTTCCCCAGCAAGGGGGAGGGAAAAAACTTTCACTTTTGTGCGTCCCTCCCGGCGTGACGCTGCGCGCTGACGTCACGGGGCGGGGCTTTAATGGTGGTGTGCCGCAAGATTTTTTTTCAGTAAACAGGTGTGCCGTTGCCCAAAAACGTTTGGGAAACACTGCCTTAGAGAGCTGATGCCAAGTCAGTGTGTATGATACTGAGCAAGGTGAACCAATGATCTGACTCCACAGAAGGTGGCTTCCTACTTTCCTATATTTGCCAATCCTGGTACCCTCCAGACTACAACTGGTGGGAGTTTCTGTCCACAACATCTGGAGGGCACTAGGTTGCATTAATGAACACAGTTTGCCATATTTGTGTTTGTTTGCTTGTTTGTTTGTTTTTAAAGACAACATACTCTATTTTTTAAAGTAACTGTACACCAAACATAATAGGTCATTTCTAGTTGCTGCGGGAACACTTTTAGCAATTAAGGATCTAGTTTTGACCTTCCTTTATAAATTTATAGCAACTCCATCTATATGGTTGCATCCAATGGTGTCTCTCCACTGCTTGAATAGTTTTTGATCCAGCAGTCTCCCACACCACCTCTTACCTTGTGCTGAGAGGTCCCCCAGACCCTTATAGATGTGGGGTTCAGGAGAGATGAGCATCAGCAAAAGCTGCCTCCTTCCCAATTTCACTGATGGAAACCTTTGGAGGATCAAAGTGCCTTGTGGCAGTGGAGGGACAACTTTAGTCACCAGGCTCCTTGGCCACACCCACACCATGCATTTAGAGCACTTTAACAGTCATGGCTTCTGCCAAATAAGCCTGGGAACTGTAGTTTACCCCTCAGCAGAGCTACAATTCTCAGACCCTTAAACTACATTTCCCAGGATTCTTTGGGGAAAGCCAGGTATGGATTCCAATGGTATGGTGAGGACGTGACCTTAATTCAACAAACGCCACTAGCATCACAAAGTCTTCTTAATAAATACAGTAAATCATTTCCCCAATATGAACCAATGGCTTGCTGGTCAACTTTTCCCCTTTACAGCATCCATTGCCTGCTCTGGGCTGCTTTCACCTGCTCTATAAACAGGGAACCCACAGGTGCTCCTGCTTTCAGGGCTGTATATCTGGCCAAGGGACCACATTGTGAAACATGGAATCAGTAAGGGAGGGGGTGGGGAATGAAGTGATTCTAGCTGTTTTTATATTTGCTCCTGGCTAAGGGTGTGAACAAGTATAATTTGTGGCAAAGCACCTTTTCTTTATGAAAGCTGTCTGTTGCAATATGAAATAAAGTTATGAGGTACTGAAAATATGGACCAGGTTTCTCAAACACTTCCAATTGCTCTCTTACTAGCTATTGTAAAAAGCGATTGTGCTGGTGTCATTTTCTCCAGCTAGTAGGGGAGGGTCATTTTGGAAGCATGCTGGTGTGCATTTTGCTCTGACATTAGAATAACCTGCTAATATGGCAGATAATATTGTTGAAAGAAGTGTATATTTTTTAAAAAAATCAACACCCAAACTATAACGATATAAACTAAAAGTAGCAATTCCAGTGGTGTCTATAAAAATGCCTGGGCTAGTGGCCTATTGCAGAAACAGACCCCCCCCCCCCAATTCCTGATTGCTTATGTTAAATCCAAAAAGTTCAGTTGTTGTTATTTGCCTATAAAGTGGTTACCTTCAAGGACCCAGATCTGTTGTTGTTTAGTCATTTAGTTGTGTCCGACTCTTCGTGACCCCATGGACCAGAGCACGCCAGGCACTCCTGTCTTCCACTGCCTCCCGCAGTTTGGTCAAACTCATGTTAGCATCAAGAACACTGTCCAACCATCTTGTCCTATGTCGTCCCCTTCTCCTTGTGCCCTCCATCTTTCCCAACATCAGGGTCTTTTCCAGGGAGTCTTCTCTTCTCATGAGGTGGCCAAAGTACTGGAGCCTCAGCTTCAGGATTTGTCCTTCCAGTGAGCACTCAGGGCTGATTTCCTTCAGAATGGATAGGTTTGATCTTCTCGCAGTCCATGGGACTCTCTAGCACCATAATTCAAAAGCATCAATTCTTCGGCGATCAGCCTTTTTACTGTCCAGCTCTCACTTCCATACATCACTACTGGGAAAACCATAGCTTTAACCTATATGGACCTTTGTCGGCAAGGTGATGTCTCTGCTTTTTAAGATGCTGTTTAGGTTTGTCATTGCTTTTTTATTTATAAAATCAGGGAGTTTTTCATAAAAGATAGGTTAGAAATTATAATATTTTTTGAAAACCAGGCACCAGTGGCCTCCCTTCCAGTGATGTGGTTGTTGAGGGCAAAGATAAAGGTTCTCCAAAACCAAGCAGTGATGAAAACCTTTTAGATCTGAATTATATGCCATATCTGGAGATAATGGAACATGAGACGTGGACCTTCTCTGAATTTTGCAATGTTGAGTAATGTGTAAAGAAATGCATACATTGGGGCAAGTGTACAGATATTAGGAAAATATCAGGCAAAACTGCATACTAACATGTATATTCGCATATATTTCCACTATAAATGCTGAATTTTTTTTAAGTTCAAACTAATGTGCAAATATGGAAAATTGAACTTAAGACAAAAAAGAAATTCAAAACTGAGAGAAACAGTAATTGGAAGGTTTGCCCATGCCTACATTAGATGCAAAGACCCACATTTAACATTATGTGTAACTTTGCAAACTAAACTAGCTAGAACACTCATCTGCATTACAAAAGCCTCTCTTCTACTTTTTATTTTCTAGTGAACAATGATCAGGTGATAGGACACTATGTATGAGGGAGGTCCATGGGTGAAAACACCCAGGAAAGCCTATGTAAGAATTTACTAACTTTTTTTGTTATAAAGCCACTAGATGGAGGTGTTGTTTTAAATGATGCTGTCTAAATCAACTGCTGAAACGTTCAGGTTGGGTTCTCAAAGAACATGTCTCTCTCCTATATGGAACTGAGCAGTTTTTGATCACTTGTCTGTGATGTCGGTTTTCTGCAGCCAGCGCTGCTTACTTTAAAGTTTAGGGTCTGAAAAAATAAATAATTTGTCACACTCTTAAGTGACGTTTTCAAACTTTCTTGATCCTTTAATCTCTATTTTGTATGGGTTTCAGTTTTGCTGAATGTTTCCAGAGGTCATTTTTTTCCATTGAAAGTCCCCCCCCCTTCTTTATGCATCACAGATGTAAAGGAGTTAAAAACACCTTAATTATGAAAGTTGACAGAAGTCAGACGGCTTGCTTAATGGGTGAGAGAGGAAAATGTATAATTTGCAGGGAGGGCAAAGCCCTCAGCCTTAAACCTGCAGCGTCTGACAGAAAGCTAATAAAACCTTCAAGTGTGGCAAAGAAAACAAGGTTTAGAGCTGAATGACTTTTAGGCCTGCCTGTCAGCTTTTTCCACAGATGCTGACACACCACGGACACCATATATCTTTCCAAGTTCCCTGGTGGTGTATACTTTCTCTTACAACTATTTTTTGCCTCCTCTGTAACTCCTATTTCAGACCCCATTCGTAGCCTATGTAACTATACAAACATGTTAATGCATCATAAACTTACCTGAACTTACCTAATAATATCCATTTAATCTCTATGCTATCTAAGGCTTTGGGGACCCTGTTGCTATTGAAATCAGAGAGGCACCTACAATTCTCATGGTCATTTCCACAAGTGTTTTTACAGAATTAACTTGATTCAGTGTTCGTCATTTCTTCTGTATTTGGGGAACTTATAATTTTACTATGTTTTCATTATTTCATTGCACACCACCATGATACTTATGAGTGATTCATAATTATGACTTATGGTCATAACTGGTGATTCATAATTATTCTTATAACAGTTTACCCAAGATAACTGCAATTATCAACATGGGTGGTATGGCTAGAAAAATCCCACTCAGTGCAGATCAGAGAATAATACCAGTAAACAGCCTGGCCCTTCTCTTAAGTACTTATTAACAAATACCTGTATACCACATTAAATACAAAGCTGAAAACACAAATATTATAAAAGTTTCTTTTCCTAAAAACAAACTCTTCTAAGTTTCTTTCGGCCGTTACAGGCAATCTCAGTGTTTGTGGCATTTTGACACAAAAGTGAAATTAATAATAATAATAATAATAATAATAATAATAATTTTTATTTATATCCCGCCCTCCCCAGCCGAAGCCGGGCTCAGGGCGGCTAACAACACTAAAACAGTGAAACATTATAAAAACATTATAAAAATTAATTAAAATACAAATTGATGGCAACCATAAACTAAAGTTTTGTAAAGATTTCCAAAATTATCATGTGAAAAATCTGCAAAAAGAAATCAAAATAACAGTTGCTTCAGTTCCCTGACTGAATGATGCAATGCAAGTCAGCACCTCAGAGAGATATTAAAGGGTGCTGCCATCTGGTAAACTCAGTAACAAACACAAGGGCTTCAAAGGGTCTTGCTGGTCACCCATTGTGTGTGCGATGCTCTGTTTTTCATTTGTATGTTTCTTGCTAACTTTAGCTTGTCAAGAAGTTCAGATTGCATGTTATCCATAATTAAGGCTGTATTTTGTTCTCAGGATCTACAGACTTTCTGTGAAAATCTACTCAGTTAAGGTATGGCCTCTTTCTCAAGGAAATGCCAATTTTCCACAGTGAAAATGTTTAAATGTATCTTGCAAAAACTGTGTTGCATTTTTAATTTGGAAGCCTGGCTGTGTTTATTCACCCTTCTAACAAAACCTAAGGTCACTATTCGGCTCAGCTGCACTTTTCTTTCATCCCGTGATATGCAATGGCCTTTCAACAAGGCTAAATGTATATGTATTTGAACATTCCTGCCCATTCAGAAGTCTGTTAATGCTGTCAGCTTTGAAAATGCAGGTCTCTGATTTGGAAGGGTGTGAAACCTAACTCCAGGCTACTCTTTCACCCTGTCAAGGGTAACAAGGGGCAGCATTAATTATCCCACTTTCCATACGGTGTCCAAGTTGGCAGCATTATCCAATGTTCTGTGCCTGTCATGCAGTTCCAGATCCAATGCTGGGAATTAGACATTTCCCATCAAAGGTGTTAGACTAAACTTAGTCTAGGAATCAGGCGCACAGGTGCCCTTTCACACACATGGTTCCCAGTATATCAGAAGCTGCATCTTTGTAGACAGACTAAGTATGAAACAAACAATCTGGGAGAACTACAGGAGGAACCACAACTCTGTGGCAGATAGACAGCACTATGCTTTGCATGCAGAACACCCCAGAAACGTTCTGGGAAGAAAGGTCTCTGCCTAATGCTTTGAAGACCTAGTGCCTATCAGAATAGACAATACTGGCTAGATTATGGGTAGGCAAACTAAGGCCCAGGGGCCGGATGTGGCCCAATCACCTTCTCAATCCGGCCCGCAGATGGTCCAGGAATCAGCATGTTTTTACATGAGTAGAATGTGTCCTTTTAAAATGCATCTCTGGGTTATTTGTGGGGCCTGCCTTGTGTTTTTACATGAGTAGAATGTGTGCTTTTATTTAAAATGCATCTCTGGGTTATTTGTGGGGCATAGGAATTCGTTCATTTCCCCCCCCCTTCAAAATATAGTCCAGCGCCCCACAAGGTGTGAGGGATGGTGGACTGGCCCACAGCTGAAAAAGTTTGCTGACCCCTGGGCTAGATGGACCAGCGGTCCAACACCAGTATAACCCAATTTTATATTGTTGTGAGTTAGGGGAAGGAAGTCAGCTACATGCCGAGATCTTTCTAACCCCAGGATCCAGCCAGTGTGAAAATATACAACAGGTTAGTTTCCTAGTGAGGTGATCGCCAGTGGAGATGGACCATTAAGGAGAATGGTAAATGGGCATGACCCACTCCCTCAAACTCACAGACAGATAGAAGGACAAAGCTGGAGTTGAGAGCAGAGAGTTTGCAGTGATGTAAGCTAGAGGCAAAGCAGCACACTGAAAACCAAGTGAGACAGAATGTTGTTTGGTTTCTGTTCGGATCCAAGGCTGTGGCTATGGAAGAAACCAGGCTCTCTTGGCATGTTAATGCTGTGAACCCCTCCATCACAGGCTCAGGTTGTATATATGTGTAAATAAGCCACGTATCATGAAAACACTACATTCTCCACTGTGCCTCATTCTGAAGGAAAAACAAACCCTGAGTATCATCATCATCATCATCATTTTACAATTGTACAGTTGTAACTATGCTCAAGGCAGCTTACAACATGACAAGATTTACATAATTACAAACATAACAGAAGTCATAAACAATAAATAAAACACATCAAAAAGTACACAACCAAATGTAAACAATTTCCATGTAAATCATAAGATCTAAAACGAAAGATACAACAATAATATCAAGAACAGCAACAGCTCTCTCAACAATACTCCAGTCCAAGAATCTGTTCAACAGCTTCAGCTTTTGTAGCTAGAGTCAGTCAGCACTCCACTCTCCCAGGCCAGATGGGAAAGGGCCAGTAAGGCAGGGTGCAGGCCTTCCAGGGCTCACAGCCAAGATGGTCTCCTTTAAAACAACACAGATAAAGAAGTTCCAGGAGTAAGGACCTGGGACCCCTGGAATCTCACACTGCCTGGAGATTGGGGTGGTGTGCAAGAATATATTTATTGTAGCAGGCTTCCCTTAGGCACCGCAGACAGGTAGGGCCAGGGGATAGAAACAGGAGCCTGTCCGTTGAACTTAATGTATATTTGTAACAACAGTAAACGTATAAAACCCCAAAAGAAACAATAAAGGCCTGTCTGGTTTTGTACCACCTCAAAAGTACCACAGCTACTGGGTTATAGTTTAAGAGATGGTATAAATATATGGTGGCAGCAGTAAGAAGGTTTCGAAATAAATGTACCATGGTGGAAGTAGGATTCAAACAGAAACTCCTCCACACACTTGGTGAATCAGCAGCGGTAAAAAGAATCTGGTTTTCCTCATAGAAAGTGGGGTACCTCACCTCATACATACTAAAATAACATAAAAGAGCTATAACATTGCAGCAGCTAGAAATGAATCTGGATAAATGCAAACTCAAAAATGTATCTTTATTATTTGCTAACAAGTACTATGTCATACTTTTGTTCCCTGTGCCTTTTTGTCAGTTCTGCACTCTGCATACATGAATTTGCACCACATAAAATTAGTTCTTAACGCCTTGCTTTGCCAGATTGCTTAGGTGTGCAAAATGAAGCTTCCTGCTTGTAATTTTATTCACACAAAGGTGATCCACATAAGGAATTCCTATAAGAGAACAGAATCTAGCACAATGCTATTATACATGTGCACATACACAAAAAGAAATATGTGTGTTTTAAATTCAACTTACCTTGACTATTTCACTGTGCCATTGAAGCTCTGAACACCAGGAATGATTTTGCTTTTCAGGACTTGGTTCTAAGCCTGCAGCAATAAAGGCAAGAGGGTCTCTTGGGCATTTGCAGAAAGTATTTCTCTCATCATTAAATAACTGGTGGCTGTCCCTATACTAGGGGAGCACATAAATCACTGCCTCGGCCGCTAGGAGTTGGTGCCTATGTGGATTAGTGTTATGTGTGAACCCAGAACTCAAATTTAACCATGGTTTATTTGGCCATCTCACCCCAGATGCTCATGGTTTGCTTGATCATCTGTGGAACAATTTAATTTGTCACTTGCTAAACATGGCTTAACCAGGGCCAGCCCAATACATTTTGCTGCTTGATAAGGACAAGATGGCACCCTTTCTCAATTCCACTGCTAGAGGACGACTGAGCGTTCTGCTACACTAATGATGGACCAGCATTCACCAGCACACCTGAGAAAGCAGGCCAGGTTCAGGGGCTCAGGAAAGGAATGTGACAACTGAAGGGAACAGCTGGGAACCCAGGAGGAAGAGTTTGGAGGCTGCTGCCGCTACTCCAACATCAACCACCTTTTGCTGTTGTCTCACTATGCCTCATGGTTAGGGCCAGCCCTAAGCTAAGTATTATTATATGTGAACCAAGTCTTTTCACTCGTCAGGCTGAAAACAGTGCCCTGTCCTTGACCTAGGCAACGCTGCTTCTTCCCAAGAACACTGGCTAGCCAGTCAGAATTGTATAGAACAATTCCCAGCCAAAGCAGTTGCTATTGCACGCAAGTAAACTATGTCAGCGCATACATGCATATTGAGTCTTCATGTGTTTGTGGTGACCTCATGTGTCATGTAGAGCAGATGTTTCTGCTGTGAATAGTGTGTACTGCAAACAAAAACGCTTGCCTCCTGCCGTTCCTTGTAGATCCCTTCTTCCTTGAAGAGGGACACAGGCGCCAATGCCACATTGCAGTGTGCATTTATGAAATGTGTGCGTGTGTTGATCTCCTCACAGCTGCTGTGCAGATGAACCAGCCAGCCCAGAACAGAAACAGAGCCTCTTTCCCTCTCATGAGGACATTTGTCAGGTGTTTAAACAACCATGCTTGCACCCAGTAAATAGCGCATTCAAGAAAGGAACCAGAAGGGAGCAATTTCCACGAGAAAACCAGCACAGGGCCCTGATCTGGATGCATTCCAAACAGGACCACCATGGCTACTTTTTCTCCAAAATAAAAGCAGCCAGGTTAAGCAGGCTTGTTTGAACTGCAGGCAAGTGAGCACCTGGAAAGAAGTGTTGTTAGGTGAAGTAGCTGTCCCTGAAAGATAAAATGGAAGCAAATCTGGAGGGTTCTATTCAGGCAAAACATTTTGAAGGATATTTGACAATATTTGGTTTACTGTATTGGCCCGAATATAAGCCACACCCACAAATAAGCCACACCTTTAAAATTGAGGGGGGGGGGAGTAAAAAAGACAATACCCAGGCTGCTTCCTGGAGGGAAGCTTTGCCGGTGGCGTAAGGTCGTGAATATAAGCCACACTTTAACTTTTCACAGAATTTGGGGGGAAAGTGTGGCTTATATTCGGGCCAATACGGTATATATTTCAGGGCAGCCCCAACATGAAAACAAAACTCAAAGGCCACATGACACTGCGAGGAACAGCTCCCTCCATGAGACATTCTATTTAATTCCAAAAACTGATGGGACTACCAGGATGTCCAAATAATTTTGCAGGTTACTAATGGGGAAGTGAAGTCCACAAGGAAGCCATATATTCAGGGGCACTTTGCTTTCAGATTTCTTTAGGGAAAAGATTCAATTTGAGGTATTATGTACATTTTCAGAAACAAGCGATGTCGGATTTTTTTTGTTTTTTATTTTTTTGTAAAGATCACGTGACAATTTCACTCATGCCAGATCAGATTAAGTGTGTGTGGGAGGCGCATGTGCCACTTTCAAAAGTACTTGTACACCTTTCAACCCAATATGACTAGGGAGCCCATCTTATATCTGACAAACTCTCTTATTTTTTTAAGAGACATTCTTACTTGCAATTCCTCTGGGAGGAGCTTAACTCTTAAGCCATTTCAGTCTCAGATAAACAAGCTGTTGCCCTATCCACATGTACCCGGGTTACTGGGAATTAGTCTCTATGAATTCAGTGAAACTTCTTAATGGACATATAGAGGTCCTACAGCACAGCTGCAGCCCTCCCTATATGCACATACTTGGAAATGTCCCATTGAAATCAGTGGGGTCTATTTCTGAGTAAGCATGTGTAGGTTCTGGCTGTGAAAGTGGTTTCAAGCCATCTTTAAATAACCCCAAACAACACAGTTTTACTCTTCCCCCTCCCCCTTTCTCCCCACAACAGAGTATAATTAGAACTTCAGAAATTGTGTTTGTAGCAAGGAAACAGAACCCTGTTTCTCATTATTTTGCACATGCAGTTTTTGGATTTTTACTGTACAGCCATTCATCTTTGATCTAATTTTATAACATCATAATCAGATTTGGCACACTAAAACAAATGCTAGCACTTTTCAATAGTAATGCGACAAACTCTCCTGTTTAAAGCTCTGATTCAATCAAAAATCATCAAGGTTACAGGACTATGATTTCACTACAGCAAGGGCTGGCCTTGTGTCCAACAAAAAGGAGGAGTGTTTACCATGCAAAGGCTGCATTTATTAAGTATTAATACAGATTGGCTGCAAATAAATAAGTTATTAATTACATTTAGGATTAGGAAAGACAAATGGAACCTGCAACAAAATGTGGTAGCATATACTCACCTCTTTGCAAGAGCGCTCCTTACTCAGGGTCCCTTCCTGGCAACCAGTCATGCGCTAGAAGCTGCTAAGGAGGAGGGCATTCTGTTCCTCTCCACAATTTGCTTTTGCCCAGGTTACAGTCAACTGTCTGTAGCTCATCATTCACCTAGCCATAGCTCTCTTGGTGTTTTGGATCACCACTCCCATCAGCCCCAGAAAGTAAGGTAAAAGTAAAGGATCCCTGGATGGTTAAGTCCAGTCAAAGGTGACTATGGGGTTGTGGCACTCATCTCACTTTCAGGTCAAGGGAGCCAGCGTTTGTCCACAGACAGCTTTCCGGGTCATGTGGCTAGCATGACTAAACCATTTCTGGTGCAATGGAACACCGTGACAGAAACCAGAGCACATGGAAACACCATTTACCTTCCCACCACAGCGATACCTATTTATCTACTTGCGCTGGTGTGCTCTCGAACTGCTAGGTTGGCAGGAGCTGGGACAGAGCAACGGGAGCTCACCCCCTCATGGGGATTCAAACCGCCAACCTTCCGATCGGCAAGCCCAAGAGGCTCATACAGGGGGGTTGTGGTTATGAAGTGGGCTTAAATGTAAAGAAGTAGGTGGGAAAGAAACAGGTGAGAATGAAATTCTGGATGCACGAAGGGTTTGTTTGCACACCAATAACCAGTGAGCATGATCTCAGATGAAGGTACCAACTGCCTTTTCTGATATGTTTGTATGTACTGCAGCAAAATTTAGTTCTGAGGAGGAATTTTATGTGTGAGACGGATGAGATGGTGTTGTGGATATTTTCAATTAGCAGTTCTTCAGAAGGAAGAGTTCCCAAGATTATAATCTTCTAATTAGCCAGTGTTCTTAAATTGTTTCAGGCTGCTCTTACTGTGGTGGCTTGTTTGATTTTATTTTCCACAGGAGCAACAACAGACTGGTTCTTTTCTGGTAAGAGACATCTTGAGGATTCCCCATCTGTGGCTTTTTCTCATACTTAAACTTGCAAATACTTGTTAAGTTCCAAATGAGCCTTGGTGCATTTTGAATGTTATAGACAGTGACACTTGTGCTGTGCTATATGTACACAACAAAAATCTGGAACATTCATTAAAGGTGCATTGGATCAAATGCTTCACAGTGAATTGGGTTTTTAATGAATAGTGCCTTTTCCCTGCTTCTAAAAAGCCAAAACAGATTACTATTTCTTTTTATTTAATTGATATTGTTGTTAGGACACTCAGAACTTTTACTCTCCTTGTCATTATAAATGATAGCATGAATAAAACAAAACAAATGTGATACAATGACCAAGACACTTATAGCCTGAGCCGTGGTACCATCTGATTTGCTATAACACAGAGACCAACCTTGTTTGCTAAGCAAGATATTCATCTGGGAGACGTGGGGAGAGACATGAAAGAGCTGTGTGTAAAGTGGTTTTGATTTTAGACATGGGCCTTGGGACATAATTTCTACTTACTATTCCTTGTTTGAATGGATGTGCACTCCAAAACTTGTGCATGTGCTTGAATTATCTCCTTTTGTCAACATTTGTCCCAACAAAAACTGACCACCTGAAAATTTACTGTAAAAACAAAAAAGTAACCAAATTTTAAACTGCACCCCCACAACTTTTATTATTTACTAAACTGCGGGGGCAGTGGAAGACAAAAGTGCCTGGCGTGCTCTGGTCCATGGGGTCACGAAGAGTCGGACACGACTAAACAACTAAACAAACAACAAAAACTGGCTTTCACGTTTTGCATGTAAACCAAGAGGCATGGTATCAAGACATCAGGCAAAATCCATCTGGAAATTCTCCTGCACTTGCGTTTCACAAGGACCTGCATGCTTCACAATAGATTCTGCCTTAGTAAGTGTAATTCAGTGCTAAAGCTGGTGGCCAGTCCTGCAAGACTTGCAGCCTGATCCTTTACTTAGAAGGAAGTTCCATCGCTTTCAGGTATGTATGAATATTGAGGGCTGTTGCTTTTGGGTGGTTGCCAGGTTGCCACATGGAGATTATGCACAACTGTAAATGAGGCAAGAACTTTTTTCGCTCTACATCTCATTCTACTTACTACACCACTACCGCTGTTCACCCTTCTCTACTTCATGAAAAAAGCAGGGCTGCAGATATGCTAGAGATTATTCAAGAAACTCAAGAATAAGCCCAAAGGTACAGTGGTCTATGTTAAGACACAGATGGTGCTTAACATATTGATAAATATATACAGATATGTAATTTTAAAAACATGTTTTACACCATATTTCTTTTTATGTTTTAACTCTTCTTTTTTAACTTTCAGAATCAGAGTGGCATTTTAATGCTTTGAATCATAAGATTTGGTCTATAAATTGTCATGGGGAGGAATGCTGAAAATTATTATTGTTGTTAATTATTAAATTTACATCAGCCCTTCTTCCCAGAGCAGAAAACACCACAGTAGTACTGAAGCAGAAAACAATAAAATTGCATCACACAATGCAGTTGTGTCAAGAATTAGACGACATGCTAATTTCCTAGCTACTTCTCCAAGTGGATTTCAAAATGTAGTAAAGCTAGGAACATATAATGCCAGAAGTGTGCACACTGTGTGGGGAGGGGAGAATAAGTGAAACTGTGAGAGTGGTTTCAGCACAATCCAACCAGCACATCTGAAACTTAAATTTTAATGTACTGTCTTTTGGAAAACTGACTCCATCACCAGATAAATGAGGGTTGTTTTAAGAAGGGAGTGGCAATCTGTGCCTCTGGTAAACAGATCTGTGGATTATTGTATAATTTCAAAATTTAGAAAAGTTGGTTTGACTGGAGTTTATGTCACAGTCCGAAGCCCCCAAAAAGTGTGAACATCATGGAAAACAGAGCCTCTCTCAAATCACTTTCAATCACCTTGACACCATTGTCTGCCCCTATATTAACATGTTACGTATTTTCACAAACCGTTGGGAAGAAAGCTGGGAGTTGTTACTCCTTAATATAAAATGCAAATCTCAAATTATATTAACATGCTGCTTTTATATCTTTATATACACCCTAAGCATACAGGTATATTTGTTGTTTTGGGGTTTTAGATTGTTTTAAATTATCTTATGGGTAAATCGCTTTGAGACGGTTGTTTAGAAGGTAATTAACAACAACAAAAACCCTCATGCTGTGAAAGAAACTGAAGTCTACTGTGAGGCAGAACCAGACGGAACTCTTATCTTTGTAGACACGTCCAGATATCATATACGTGGCTAATTGGTTTGTGTGTATATGTCTATCTATAATGTATACGGCAGTCTTAGAACGTACCTGACGTTCTCTTCTACATTCTGACATTAGCCACGCTCCCACGTGGCCCAAAGCGCGTGAAGCAGCTCCAACACACTTTTTATACTTGTAGAAGACCCCATAATGCACACCAGGCTCCTCCCTGGAATCTCACCTTAAAAGGATCAGGTACCTTAACAGGGGACGAAGATACACTTAGGGAGCTGCTGCTGCTGCTGCTACTGCTGCCCTCAGCAGGCCATCCTGTGACTAATGGCCTGTTTCTCTCTAGGGCAGCTTTCGAGTTCTGCCCCCGAGTTGTGTGGGACCGGTTGTGGCTGTGTGTCTCTGCCGCACCTGCCTCAGCCTGTGCGACTTCGGCCACTCTCCAGTTCTGAGGGAACCGTCGTCCCTGAGAGAGTTTAAGCCCAGGCAGCAGACGAGAAGGAATCACGAATCCCCTCCGCCGCTTGCGCCGCCTGCCCGCTTTCCCCCGGCTGAGGGCAAAGCCCGCCGAGGAGCCAGCGAGCGCGCGCGCGAGGGGTGGGCTGCCGCGTGCGCTCCCTCCGGGACAATCGGCGAGGCTTAGGGAAGGAGGGGAGGGGAGGCGGCCGCGCGATAGGCTTTTGCCTGGCGTTGCCCAGGCGCCTGGTTGGTGCTTGGTGGCCCCGCGCGCGCTGTGTGTGCGCGAGAGCGCGTGTGTGGCGGCGGCGGCAGGGCCAGGGAGGGAAAGTAGCGGGCGGGGTGTATGGGGGGAGCGGCTCTCCCAGGCTGCACTCAAGTGACATTCAGCGCGAACAACACACTCCTAACTCAGGCGGGCAGGAGGCGAGCGAGTCGCACACAGGCGCCTTCCCCCTCAGCTCCTCGGCGCTGGGCTGTTCGCTCGTTTTTTAAACATTGCACGAGAAAGACAACTGTGGGAGAAGCGAAGGGAGCCTCCAGCCAGGCAATTTCGCCTCTCGCCCCTCTTGACTTGGTCTCCTCTCCTCCTCCTGAAGAATGGGAAGGACCTGCCCGGGCTTTGCCTGCCGTTCTTCTTCCCGCTGAAAAACGGGGAAAGGGAACGGACGAAGGAACTCTTAGCACTGCGACTTCGAGGGAAGTTTAAATCCCTCTCCTCACGCTCTTTCGCGGGCAACGAGGAGCCCCCCGGTCGCGCTCGGTTCTCCTCAGAGCCCGCCTCGCCTCTTCGCCTCAGAAGCGCGCGCGAAGAACTTGGGGCAAAGTCGGCGCGGGCCAATCAAGGCTGGCCGTTCAGGTAAGCAGAAGCCGAGAGCGGAGAGGTGGGCGCGCGCGGCTGGAGGCTGCTTCGCACCGTGGAAGGGCGCCCTGGGCTCTCGGCTCTCGCCGGGCTGAGGAGCTCAGACAGGAGCAGCCTAAGCGGGAGCAGAGCAGGTTTGGGGGATGGCGGGCTACGGACACTTGAGGGGGGACACTCGGAGAGAGGAGAGCAGCGGGTAAGGGCAGCCTGCCCCACACAAGCCGAGCTCAGCTGTGCGCCGCCCGGGGCTCTTTCGCGGAGAGGCTGCGCGCGCAAGCCCAGCCTTACGATCCAGCGCCCTCTGCGAGAGATCCTGGGACAGGCTGGCTCTTGGAAAGCTGCCTTCCCCGCCCCGTCTTCACTTCCCTCTCCACCTGTTTGTGGAGCCAGACAGTCCAACTCCTTGGCTCTAAAATGCACCCAGGTCGAGCATTCGTACCAGAGAAAAAAGCGCGCGGGAGGTGGGGGAGAGATGCTTGGAGCGCAGTAGCCTCGAATCTGCTTTGCTGTCTGATGTCAGATCAGTTAAAGCGGATTAGTTACCTCTCGGCACCTTTTAAATCCAGGTCTCCGATTTAACACACACACACACACAGCCCATAGCCCCAATTTCAACGCAAGATCCGATGCAAGTTAGTAGCCGCTATGAAAGATATCGAGAGAACTCCTCATGCTGGATTAATTAAAACGGTGATATTAAATGTTGGGACAGGACTTCAGTTAGCAGAGTAGATCGTTCGCACGCGCGCCGAATCTGAGGTGAAGAATGGCTAAGGCAATCCCAGCCATTAAAATCTGGGGTTTTGACCTTGATTTTTCTAAGTTCAGGTTGGCCAAATACTATTCTGCACCCCCGTCTCTCTCTCTCTCTCTCTCTCTCTCTCTCTCTCTCTCTCTCTCTCTCTCTCGTCATCTGATGAGGCAAATCTGCCTGCTGCCAGTCTGCTTCATCCCGTGTCTGATCTTCCCATTATTATCCTCTTTACTTTGGGAAGGGTTCTTCGTGTTGTTGGAGGGGAAAGAGAGGCATGAACCTGAGATCAAGCCAACTTTCTTTCTTTTCCTTTTTTGCGCCGGGGTGAGGGCGGGGGAGCGGCGCAGCTTCACAAGACTTGCCTACCAGGTTTCCTTTGGCCCCCGTCGCCCCTCCAAAGGGGCAGCGTCTGAGGGGCTGAGCAAAGCCCCCCTGGCTGGCGGAACCGCGTCAGGAGAAGTTCCCCACCCGCGATGAGTTTTCAGGAGCGCTCCTGTTGGAAGTCTGTTCTCGCATGGCATGACAGTTTGGCTCTTAGGTGGGTTCCCCTTCTCTTTTCCTCCCCTTCTGTCCAAAGTTATGGACCCTCTCATTATTTCAAAGAAGGAGCATTAGGTTATTCTACCTGCTGCCGCAGCACCCCTGAAACCTCTCCTTGTGATCTTCTGGAAGACGGTAATTGTGGGAGAGGATGAGGGAGACCAGGAAAAGGAGGAAGGCTGGAAATAACCCAAAGGCTGCCTATTACTTAAAAATAGCTTCTTTTCTCCCTCTTCCAGCTTGTGATCCTGTAGTCTCTTCCAAAGTTTTCCTGCAGCTTAACCACTTGCAGGATATGGGGCTCTGGCATTTGTCTCCACCCACATCACCACCACATTTTCACCGAAGCAAAACTCAAGCAAGCTCTTTCAAGCTGAAGTTTAAACTGTCGTTTGCAGGGACTTAAACGTCCTAATTGACTTCATTGATTTGGTTTCCTTTTCCAGTTTCAGTGACAATTGGTGACTTCTGTTTCAGTGTATCTGCATGCACACGAAGGCTCATACCGATAACAAACTTAGTTGGTCTCTAAGGTGCTACTGGAAGGAATTTTTTTATTTTTTATTTTGTAGTGACAATTGGAGTTAGAGATGAGTTTAGAGGATCAGAAAGGGGAGGGAGTAATTGAACGATTTCCTTCTTTAAGAACTGCTCATGATCGATGTTATATTATTCTTAGCAAGTTTCTTTTAAACTCTCCACAAGTCTCTAAAACTAGTAATATTTTTAACAAAATATTCTAGAGAAACAAATTTGTAGAGAAACAAAACAGATGGTTTTGTTTGTTTTTATTACTGCACCTTTTGGAAAATTCAGTGGATTAGTCTAGCAATGGGGTCTGGCAGTTCACAGCAATTAAAGGAACAAAACAAGAAAGATGTTACTGGGTGGAATGAATATGAAATATGTGTGGCTTGTATTACACATTTATTTCAACAGAGCTGAAACTGTGACTATAAAGTAACTCTTAATCACTTACAGATACAGCTTTTTATCATTCAAAGAGCATATAATTGAAGGGTATCCCTGCTCTAAAAAAAAAGCCCTCACCACAAGTTTATTTGTTCTGGACCCATTTAACACTCCTGTGGGAAAGTATTATGCCTTCCTCAAGCTGGTTAGCTTATTGTTATATATAAATGCAATATCTTTGCCAATGCCACAGAAAGAGAATGCTGCTTTTGAATCAACCACTGTGGGTCACCCTGGAAAAAGGGAGGTGGCTATTGAGTCAAGGGACCCTTCTTGGTATCTCCACTTCCCTGCGATGCCATTTTTTAAAAAAAAAATTCCCCCCAAAGTAAAGTATATAGTAGCATGTGGCAACTGCGAGTAAAGTATATGTTTACAAATGAGACAGTCATTTGAAATGATCCTGCAAAATCACAGCTCTTGTATGATTTGTTTACTGTGCTTTGTTGAGATGCTCAGTAAGAAGGAAGGCGGGACCAAAATGGCATAATTTCTGCTCAGTACAGAACTTGCTTGTTTATGAGTCAGTCCCCAGACAAAGGGATTGTAATACTAATGGGATCAAGTCAGAGAATCTCCACCAGGGACCTGATTCACTAGTACATACTTCCATCTATGTGCCACAGATTTCAGATCTAATGAAACTAATCTCTCCTGAGTTGTTTCACATTTTCAGAAATTTAACTTGGTGGGGAACCTGCAATAAAAATTTGCAGCAGGCTGATAGTATCAGATTCTTTATCTGATATAGATGATTTTATGTATACATCATCTTCACATGTGTTGCTCAGTCCAGTGCATGTCTACTCAGAAGTAGATTGATGTTGTGCTTCCTTCCCATGTAAGTCTGCATAGGTTTTAGGCTGCAATCCTACGATCAATTCTGAATAAACATATATAGGATTGGGTTGCCAGTTTGATCTTTGCACTACATAAAATAACTTTTCAGTGATGTGCTTAGTCAAAATGATGGATGCTATAAAATATATAAAGTATATGGTAATTGCCTCCCTGGACTCCTTGAGGAAGAAGGGTGGGAGATAAATTGAATAAATAAACAAACAACAATATAAATAATTCTTAGTCTGTTTATGACCGTATATGACACAATGTTTTACATCCAAAGAATAGCTTTTGGAGTACATGGTGTAGAAACATTTCAAGCCTTGCTGAATATGAAGTACAACTTTCTCAAAGGTGTTCATGGGACCTGGAACTGGACATATCAGGGATCCTAGGTCCAGCTCCCACAAACATTTTTGGTTATTGCTTCCATCTTTTACACCTACACCCACTAATTTCTGTAGGAATCCTCCTCAACTTCACCTTGTGGTAGTGTATTGAACTCTACCATTTGTAGTTCCTACCAGCCTTTTCATGTACTGGGAGAAACCTAATCTCTTCCCCCCCTCCCCACTGCCCCCCCCCGTGTGTAAAAATGACTAATAATTGATTTTACCAGGCTCTTATTGTATGAGGAGGCAGTATTTTGAACCAGTGTGTCCAGTGTAAGAGGAATGCAATTTTCAGTATAGGGAAGAATAAAAAAATTCAAGTTACAGAAGAGTTGACAAGATTAACTCCTCTCCTCTTGTCTACTTAAGATAGATGTGAAATATACACGTTAAACAACTGGTTTATAGATTCGAAACTCACTAGGTTTTTCCGTGATTGCAAAGCAAGTAAGATTGTTAAAAGCTGGCCACATGTTTGCTACTCTTTTCTGCTTTGTGTTTTGATTTCAAAACCAACAGAAACTTAAAACGGGAAATACCATTTGCTTCTGTATGTCCTGTTGTTTTTAAAATACTGAGGCGTACCAATTTTTCCTTAATTCTGACATTCTGATATTTCAAAAGATAATGGTTTCTCATACTGAACAAATTCCAAAATATATATGAGAAAATAGTTGGCATCATCTATAGATATGTCAGCTTTCTGTGAAGAACATGATGGCTGTAGTGTTTTCATCACTGGTTTGGGGTAAAAAGTACACTTAGTAAAGCATACAACATAATAAGACATATTTTTCTAATTTGAGGGTTTAAATTTGTCACATGCATGTTAGGCAGATGTTAGTTTGTAGATGACAGGGGTTTTAAAAAACACACACAAAAAACCCCCAGAGCTTTATGGCAGCACAGAAGTAGCATTTAAT